GAAATGTCATTTCCTCTATGTATTAAAATCTCTCACGTAGTTCACCACTGGATAATGATTTTTAACTCTGACTCTAAGAACATCACTGTGGTGGGCAAGATATAAACTCCACAATCAGTGATCTACCACATACATAAAAGCAACTGTATGATAATGAAATCCATGCTGCTTATGAAAACATAAAGAAAAGCATGTAGTATCTGAGATAGTCAGAAAACTGAGTAAAATTTAAGCCAAGTCTTAGAGGACAGTATTGGGAATCACTCCAGGAAAATACATAGTCAATTAACAAAAAAAAGAAAAAGAAAGACAACAAAATGGTTCATGAGATAAAGGTCATTTATTGTTCCATCTCTGGAATCACAGGGTAAAGGCAGAGAAATTACTTTTGAAGGCTATCTTCTGATGCACAAAAATAGATTGAGACCTTTAAAGAAAGCTGCAACCCATCAAGGTGGAGAAACTATGTGGAGCCCAGTTCCAACTGATACATCCACAACACAACTTCTGTACCTAAGGCTTGGGGATTTTAGTGTAAAGGAGGTAGAAAGATTTTAAGAGCCAGAGAAACAGGGAAGTTTGCTGTGAGATTGTATCTCCTAGAAATATCAGAAAAGCTACACTCACTAACATGGTTGTCTTAACAGAACCTGAACAAAGACGACTGCAACAGACATGATAACAGAAGGGGAAGAAACTCATGATGCTCTTAACCGTAGGCGATTAAGGAATATGGAGAGTGGGAGAAATAATCCTCCCAGGAAAAAGGCCCCAATTTGGTTACCCCAAACCAAGTAGTCATCCCTGAAATTATATGCATACAAATAACATTATAAAAATTGAGCAGAACGTGCTGCCATACTTAGGAATACATACATACACATACACACACACACACACACACACACACACAAATACATATAGAAAGGATTAGAGGGAGAAAAGGAAAGGGAACACATGATATAATTGTGTTTTAATTTCAAAAAACAAATATTTTCAAATGAAAAAATGTTAAAAGAAAAAAGAGCTATACCTTATCTTTATATACAACAAATAAATACACTATAATTAATAAAAAAGCTATTTTTTGTTTTTGTTTTGGGGCTTTTGTGTTTTTTATTTATTTAGTTGGTTGGTTGGGGTTTTGTTTGCTTGTTTATTGTTTTGAGACAGGGTTTCTCTGTGTAGCTTTGGCTGTCCTGAAACTTGCTCTGTAGACCAGTTGGCCTTTAACACACAGAGATCCATCAGCCTCTGCCTCCCAAATGCTGGGATTAAAGGTGAGTGCCACCACTGCCCAGCAAAGATGTATTTATTATTATGTATACAGTGTTCTGCCTGCCTGTATACATACCAGAAGACGACACCAGTTCTCATTAAAGATGGTTGTGAGCCACCATGTGGTTGCTGGGAATTGAATTCAGGATCTCTGAAAGAACAGCCAGTGCTCTTAACCTCTAAGCCATAGGTGGTACATTAAATTTAATGGAATATATATTCTATTATACATGTAATATATATATATGTAATATATGTAAGAAATATAATGCTAAGCATAATCAAAAGTCATCATAGGCACAGGTTCATTGATATGAAGACAAGATTGCTAACACACAAATCCCTTAAAGTCAATGAAATTCTTTTCATCTTTTTGTGATATTTTTCAAAACTGATACTAAGTTTACCACAGAAGAAGAGAGGACCAAAAGAGTATAAGCAATTTAGAAGAAAATGAAGGACTATTTTTACTGCTTTTCAAGATATATTACAAAGTTATAGTAATTCAAAGGTCATGATTTTTGTACATGAATAGGCAAGACCAACTGAACAAAATGAAAACCTGGAGATACATACATATGTGAAAATTTGGAATGTGACAAACAGTATTATAAATCAAGAGAAGGATTCAATAAATGCATAGTCAAGAGAGGACAAAGAGCAAAAGTAAAATTAAATCCGGTCCTGAAACTTGCTCTGTAGACCAAGCTGGCCTTTAACACACAGAGATCTTATTTAGAATAGCATAAATAAGAATGGGTTAAAGAACAAAATAAAAAATTCTCTTAATGACAAAAGGATAGAAATTTCTCCCTAAAATCGCATACCTTAAATAAGCAATGTTCAGATATTTTGCATTAAAAATGTTATGAGAAGCTAATATAAACAAAACACCAACTGAAAAGCAATATTTATAGCCCATGTAGCAAACAAAGGATTAGTATTCAAAATATAAAAACAACTAAAATGGAGGAAAAGAAACAATGTATCTTACACATTGACCTTCTGGGAAAGGGGACTGTTTATCCCCTTCCCTCACCCCAAACACAAAGATTCTAGCTAGTATTTATGATCACTATACCTATCTGGTTAAGCGTAGATCTTAGACTTCTATTAATTAGTAAAAAAGATTATAAATAAATAGGTTATTCTCTTCTACAACTGAATAGATGAAGTATATGGCTTATACTTCTTGTTCTCTCCCACCAAAACACAAACACCCAACTCTAACCCACATATAGTTAAGACAAGTTGTCTTGGTTGGCTTTCTGTTGCTATAACAAACAAAATTAAAAGCAACTTGGAAAGAAAAAAAAGGTTCATATTAGCACACATCATTAAGGGAGACCAACGCAGGAGGTACAAGCATGAACTTGAAACAGAAACCAGTGGAAGACGGGTTTAAAATGCTGGATGGTTATTATCTATATATTTTCTGCCCTTTGAACCAAGGCAAGAAATATAGCGGGAAGAAATCAGTACTAAAATCATGTTGAAATGGTAATGAGAGATTGTTTTTAGCTTTGGAGGACGATCATGGATCTCATTTTAGAGAATAAAATTTTTGTGACATAGACCTGAAGATTTGTAAGGTTAGGTGTTCCATAAAGGTTTGAAGTCATTTTTGATTGATTATAGCTTTGTTTTGTTCCTTTCACCTGCTAAGAAAGAAAATGACTTCTTTGATATTAATTTTAGAAATACCTTTACAGAGCTGGAGTGCTCTGTGACATGGCCTTTACTGTCTTAGTCCATGGTGTCCTTACACCTACTGAATTAATGAAGTTCCTACAGGCTGCAATTTGTGGTGAATGTCAAGCCAGACTTTGCACCCTCTTGGTCCTGACTTTTCCAGGGCTGGTGGCTTTTCTGGAGGGCTGCCCATTTACACACAACCATATCTATTTTCATCTCTGTAGAAGTCTATATAAGCCCAACATCAGCTATGCTGGATTTGAATTTTTCTATTATCCACAATAGAGTCAAGTTCTTTACAAATTATATTGGGGAAAACTCTGATGGACTTGGTGGGAACACTGCTTCACTTCCATTAAGAATTTTGCTGGAAGTTTACTATAAGAAGTGTTAAGGAATTTGGTAATCAAAGAATGAGAAGTGTACTAATATTTTATCACATATTAGTTATAAGTCAACTGAATCATCAGTTTTAACAGTGCAAAGAGTATTGGTGTAATAAGAGTGTCTTTCTGTAGTAAGAGAATTATTATTGTTATTATTTTAGCTCTGTGTATGTGTGTGGTTGTTGGTGGGTTTTTTTGGTACTTGCTATTGAATGTAGGGCCTTGTACATGATTGGTAAGCACTCTGCCCTTTACCACTAAGCTATGTGTCTTCAGCCCATTTTTTATTTCAGTTTTTTACTCCCCAAGACAGGGTTTCTCTGTATAGCCCTGGATTTCCTGGAACTCATTCTGTAGACCAGGCTGTTCTTGAACTCACAGAGATCTGTCTGTCTGTCTCCCAAGTGCTGGGATTAAAGGCATGTGCCAATGCTACCTGGCATCTATCCAGTTTTTTGAGATAGGGTCTTACTCATTTGTCAAGATTGTCTCAAACTCTTTCTGTAGCCTGAGTGGACCTTGGATTTGTAGTTTTGTGGTCTCAGCCTTGAGATCAGCCAGGATCACAGCCAGGTCTAGCTTGTTCCTAGCATCTTATCAGGGGACATCTAAGTTCATAATGACAGGGCTGTACAACAGCAAAACCTACTTTTCAGTATTAGTGTTCATTTATATATATCTTTGCTAATTTACCAAGATTTAGCTATTCGAAAAGATAAGCTTATATATGTTTATGGAACATATATATAGCTACTTTTATCACTGAGTTACTGTTTTGGTGTGTGTCTGCTTTTAATTAAATGGCATGTATTAAAATAGGTTGTTAGGGCTTATTTAGGTTAATTCTGTTCATTTTAAAACTTCAGAATATTCTTTTATGGTCTAATTCATTTATTTAAAGGCTTAAAATGAGTATTGACCTTTCCTTAACTAATTTTTGCTCAGGTCTTAATTAAATAACTTCATTAAATTCTTTGTTGTAAGTTGTAGAAATTAAACTTTGTTTTTCCTTGATGTAACAAACACCTGAGATAAATCAGCTCATGAGAAGGATCAGGTTTATTTTGGTTTATAGTTTAAGAGGTTTCAGTTCATGGTTATTTGGAAAAGGTATTTCACAATCTTGGGAGCATGTGGCAGAGGAAATCACTCATTTATTGTGACCAAGAAGCAAAAAGAGAGTCAGAAAGTGACTGGAGTCCTTTAAAGTGATGCCTCCAATGGCCTAACTTTCACTGTTCCACTACCTCTCAATCGTGCTGCGGGCAGACTAAGGACCATGCCCTTAACACATGGCTCTTTGGGCAGCATTAGGGTCAAAAAACTGGACTCATGTAAATCGTCTGTTAAAAAGGACAGACGCATACTTGGAAAGCCACCTCTGTTTTCTCTCTGCATGTCTTCATTGTTCTCTTCCACACTGGTGTCAACTTGACACAGACATGGAGTGACCCTGTAAGAGAGAACTACAGTTGGAGAATGGCCTAGGTCAGGTTGGCCTGTGTTTATGTGTGTGAGGCATTTTCTTAATTGCTAAGGCTCCCCACCAAGGGCTTGACAATCCTGTTTGTACCATACTATATGCAGAGACAAGAGAACTTGGAATCTTTGCATGAGAGCCTTTGCACAGGCTGATCTTACCAGCATGTCAGTGGCACTAAGGTAGTGCTTGCTGGCCATGCACTGTTCCAGTTTTTGAGGCACTTGCTTTATGTTCTCAATTTCATCCAGCAGGTTCAGGACATGCTTATGTTCAATTCCTTCAATCCATAGTTTACGAAGCTCATCCCGTTTGCAGTGCAACAGCATCTTGCAGGAAAGTAGATTCTCTTTTACCTACAATAAAACATATCTGATCTTGAGTCAATTCAAAATCTTGTCAGCCTAAACCACCAATCTGGTTAGTATTCCCCACTGATCCTGTATGTGTAACAGTTCCTAATTCCCTCCCACTTATTCCCCTTGGTTTGTCCCCTTTCTAAATTCTAATCCTGATTCTGGTCACTTGGATGCATCACTACCTCTCTGTGTTTCTATTTTTTCTCCCATGAAATGAGAAAACTACTTCTAATATACCTTTGAGTGAATCTAAAAATAATTACAATGGATATTAGGCACTCTGAAAATATGAAGCACCATACAAATGCAGATTTACCTAAACAGAGGAATGATCAGTATGAGAGTCCAGTTCTAGTATTCCTTCCCCAAATCCCCTTGCAGCTGAAGGCCACACAGCCCATGCTTATAGCTCTAGAACTCCAGCCAATGTTTATGACCAAGAACCTCAGTGCTATTCCCAAATAACCACAATAAAATTAGGCCCAACATTGAAAAAGGAGTAAACACATGCAGAAATAATCTCAAAGACACATGACGTATTTTTTTGCCTCCCACTTTAAAGTATCAGTAAATTTGATATTAAATAGACAATATCCAGCATTCTGTATAAACTGTACATTCTCACTGCTGCACATGCAAAATGTGATTAGATGTAGAGAAGTTAGGGGATAAAAGGGATTGGGATACAGATAATAATCACAATCACATCATAAAAGTAAGTTTCTATTTTCTACCCAATAAAAATTTCAATGTTTAATACACGGAAAAGGAATTTAAAAAAAAAATAAGGTCTCATGTAGTTCAGGCTGGCTCAAACCCACTGGTCTTGACATGGTGAGTCTACTGCCTCCTGCCCCCAAGCACTAGGACTGAAGCATATGTTGCCATACTTGGGTTTCTGCGAGGGGATTTTTTAATTCATTCAATAAATTATATAACTGCTTTCAAACACCGTTGACAGTCCTCGCATATGCTTCTATTTGGAGCTCAACATTTGTTTAGTTTTGTCTCTATTTCCCTGGAGGTGACTTCAACTCCAGTGTAGACTTGGTACATTCTGACAGCCATGTACACCTATATGATCCAAACTGCCAAGAGTGTGAGGCTTGTGTATCACCCTAGAGTCTGCATGTCTACTTCTCCTGAAAAACCAGATTCCTCTTCAATGAGAATATTTTGAGAATGAACATACTATGGACACTGAGCTTTTGATTACTGTAAAATGAAATTCAGTATTTGTCTAAAAAGCACAGAAAAAGTGAAAATAGATTGCTAAGGCCAGAAGGTCTCTTGAGAAAACAGCTAATCTGATTTTATAATTTTATAGCGTCTAAGGCAGTTTTCTATATAACTCATGTAAAGAAGGCAGCCATGGATAAGAGGATGTGATTGTGATGTCCTTTGAGAAGCATGGTGGCATGGCTCCATGGCAGGGTAGATAAAATCTGACAGAAGTGGTACTTGTTCTCACCATCGCTTTTTGCAATCCTACTATGGTAAAAGCAAAGAGATTCTTTATAAACATGACATCGAGAAAAAAAGAACAGAGGAGGGAAGAGTAAAAAGAAAATCACAATACAGTTCCAGAAGCTAGCCAGAAGTGGATGGTGGATGGTGGAAGCTGGCAGACCATGGAAGCCTGAGTGTCTCTGGAGTGTGTTGGCTACACTGAAGGGCAGCAGCAGAACATGGAAAGCCTAAGCAATTCAGACTCCCCACAAGAATATCTTAAGGACCAGCATCCCATCAAGCCACATGGGCAGGTGAGTACTTCTGTTAGCAATTGTCAATGCTGGGCAATTGGAAAGGATATGGGTCAAGGAATGGTAGGTACGGCTAAAGGCAGGGTGAGAGGTACCAAAGAAAAACAAGAGGATGTAGTCTAAGGGAAGCCTATTAGCAAGATCCTTAGGGCCTCTGGGCCCTTAGCAAGGTCAAAGATTCAACGCTAATAACAATGACAGCTTCCCTCTAGCATCAACCAGAGAAAGTAAGGGCATTCCCTCTCAAAAGTGATCTGGTTCAAGTTTAAAGGCACCTGACTTTTCACTGAAGAAACTGGGAGTCCAGGCCCTCAATTTGCTTTAAGCTTCCAATTAACTCCCTTGCATACAAATGGCAACCAAAGAAAATCCTGGCAAGACAAGTCCTTTGGCCATATACATAAGGCAACAACTGAACATATTCAACAGGTTGTACTGATAATATTGATATATTTATATGCATATATAGCAACAAAGGCTAAAGAAAAATAAGGAGGCTGGCTGTGATTTCAGAAGGGGAATGTTACACATGGGAGGGGTAGGAAGGAGAAGGAGGAATAAAAATTCTAGTTTAATTAAATATTAAAAAACAAAAAGGATTGACAAGCATCAGAATAAAAGGAAGGGACTAATAAAAAGAAACTATACAGAAAATGGTTTTTTTACCTACAATTAACATTCTTAGTAAAAAATAAGAAAAGCTATTACATCAAAGAAACAAAACAGAACAAGACAATTTAGAAAATGAAAAACTCTTAGAAATTTTAAAAATGATATAAAATTGATAATGAATAAAAAAGTTAAGATACTCCAAGTGTGTGGGTGTGTGCACATGAGTAAGATTTTTAAAAGTTAGAAGATTGAACTGGTGTTCAATAGTTACCAAAGAAGCCTAAAGGAAAGAAAAATTATTTTTATAATATAACAAAGAAAAGTATTAATAAAATTTAAACAAATAAAAATTCCTAGTGCAAAGAGTATTATTTCTCAAACTGAGAAACCACATGAAGTAATGAAGACAACAAAATGGGAAGAGACTGTGTCAAGCAGACAAGAAGTAGAGGGCAGTCTAGCCTTGGAGACCCTTCTTAGAAAAAGAGGGAGAAAGGAGTGACACAGGAAAGGTAAGGGGTGAAATGAGAGGGATAGAGAAATAAACAGACAGGAGGAAATGACAGCAAGAAGTGGTGGGATATGAAATGAAAACCTAAAAGATTTTGAAAGAAAGCATCAGGGCTAGACAGAAGTTGGTGGATTAGACAAAGGGATACTATCTCTTCAGAATTCTGTGAGAGAATTATTTCCCAGAAAGTTATCAATTGAGTATGAAGAAAGCATAATGACATTTTCAGACATGCAAGCATTCACAAAATAAACATTGCATGGACAGAATCAGCAACCTACTGAGAAATGCTACTCCGTCAATACAAGAGCCCAGATGAAATGGCAAAGGGGATTTCCTCCACAGAAGAAAGCTACAAAGTCACCCTCATCGCCCTAGGGAGAGCAATGGTAGCAACAAACTACACAGAAGAAAACATAACCATGCAATGGCTTAGATGTGAATACTGACATAATTACAATAAAAAGGCCCAGAAGTTTAACCAAAACAGGAATATCTCTTGTTTTTAGACAAGAGGAAGGAGGAAAATGTGTCAGGAGAGGGAAGGACTAAATCGACCTTCATATATGGCAGAAGTCAATATACAGTTTCTGAAACAGAAAAGTCAAGAACAGTATGAACACACTATCAGACATGCAAATGTTCAAGGAGGGGAACTATAGCAAATTCTGGCCTTACATGGCTGGACTTGGGACCTGGCAAGGATAAGGTGAGAGAAGCCTTGTTTTAATCATTATTTCTGGTTTTGACTCAAATATCTCTCAAGGTCACTCATAAATTCCCTTGTATTCTTGATCTACATAGTTGTTATTAATCTTATTACATTTTAAAAATCTGTTAGAATTTGATTTCTGATATTCTCCTATGACCTTAATTCTACAAGTCTGGTCTTTCCCATGAAAGTAGGTAAAATATATATTTGGTCAGAATCCCACCTAGGCTCTTGATCAAAGGTGGGGGATAAACTCACAAAGTGTCAGTCAAGCTTAGCAAATTCCTATATGGTAGGAAAAGGCCATTATGGAATTTCATACTAGCATATACACGTACAATTGGACCACTTCCCCACTTTTACTCACTAGATAGAAACTAAAGTGAAAATAAGGTAGAATGGCAGGAAAACATAATTGGGTCGTACATAAAATGAACACCACCAAGATTATTCCCTAAACTGAACTAGCATGGTAAAAGACATAAGAAAGTACAAGAAATTTTATTACCTGTCTTAGTTATGGTTTCTATTGCTGTGGAGATATATCCTATGACCACGGGAACTCTTATAAAGAAAAAATTTAATTGGGTGGTTTACAGTTTCAATCCATTATCATCACAGTAGGTCATGGTGGCACGTAGGCAGACATGGTGCTGGAGAAGGAGCTACATCTTGATCAAGCAGGCAACAGAAGTGAACAGTCTCACTGGGTATAGCTTGAGTAAAGGAGACCTCAAAGCCCTCCACCACAGTGACACACTTCTTCCTACAAGCCCACACTTGTAGGAAGTGCCTCGCTTTGGAGGCCATTTTCTTTCAATACACCATACCACCAAACTATCCTGTGTCTCTTACTTTAGATTAGAAAATCATGAAAACTGTCAGCCACAAAAAAAGAAAAATATGGAGAATATCAAAACTGTGTGATAAGAAAAGAAGCCAGTTGTCATAAGGACATGTGTATGAGTTCTCCAGCAGGCAAGCCTAATCCAGTGACAGATTTTCTATCAGCAGTTGTACACAGCAGTATGTGGATGAGAACTAACTATAAGAAGCAGAAGGCCACACATGGCAGTGCACATTGTATAACCAAAGTATTAGGAAAGCTAAAGCAGAAGGAGCCTAAGTTTGAAGCTAGTCTGAACAACAATAGCCAAGTTTAAAGTTAGCCTGGGCTACATAGCAGGGGTCAATGCTCTGATATAATAGTAACAAATTCAAATATATAAACAGTAAATTCATTGACATATAACAAAATGCATGTATATTACTGCTTGAAAATTAAATTTCAATGAAGATAAGGAATAAACCATTAAAGAAAATAATATAAAGCCAGGATAAGGGACAGACCTTTAATCCTAGCATTGGTGAGGCAGAGGCAGGCAGATCTCTGTGAGTC